TGCTCCTGAAAGTCTTCCCTAACTACCCTTTCTTCCCAATTATTTACCCCCTTAACACTTAGAAGTGTTTCACTGGATGGCTCCTTAGGTGGGAAGTAAGTTTAAAATACAGGATTCCTGTACATCTTTTTTTTTTTTAACTTTTTTAGTTGTAGATGGACACAATACCTTTGCTTTATTATTTATGTGGTGCTGAGGATCCAACCCAGGGCCTCATGCACAAGAGGCAAGCGCTCAACCACTGAGCCACAACCCCAGCCCATGTACATGTTATTCTTGGCATTTGGCCCAAGTTCCTAGCACCAGTATCTAACATTGACCTATTAAAAACTAGGTTAATTTTAATTTTAAGATCTTTTTTTGTAAATTTCATAGCTCATAAATTCAACAGTTAAAATAATTCTTCTCACATTGCTCAATGACAACAGGCTTCATTCCCTGAAGCACAAACGATTCTATAATGTTTTACTTCTGAGATTGGTTGCAACTTTTTTCCAAGTCAGATCCACAACTCCAAAGGTAGCAATCGGGAGTATTATTTTTGGGAACCAGCTAATCTAAATTCTAGTTGTTGTACTGATTCTTGCTCAAGTAAATGTCCCTGAGCCTCAGTTGCTTCGTTTTGAAAATGAGACCGTCTTCCACTCGCTTTAACCCAAGGGGGATACATGTTTACATTTATCTGCTTACAGAAGTTTTAATACAAAAGTATCTGGTCATGCAGCAAGCTCACGCTGAACTGACAGCACCGTTCCCAGGGGCATCATTTTCCTAAGGGGTGCAGGGGACACCACATAGGTAAAGTAAAACACTGTTGACCCTTCAGAAAGCTCCCAACATTCCCCGCCACACTGGTTTTCCTTTATGCCTCAAAGTTTGCTTCTCATAATGTCTACTGGGGGAAGGGTGGGGAGTGCCGGGAATACGCTATGCCTGTAAGTGTGGGGACACTACACCAAGCCTTATCTTCAGGCCGGTCCCCATTTCCTGCGCTCCCCTTCTTCCGACTCTTCCCTCCCCAACAAGCAGCAGAAGCGGCCAATGAACTCCTCCCTCGCGGCTCCACCCCTGCCTGCGGAGGGCTGCGTCGCCGCCGGGGCTTAGGCCGGAGCTAGAGCAGGTCCTGGGCTTCTGTGGTGGGCCCCGGGCAGCAGGCCCTAAGACCAGGTGCTCCCGACACCCGCCCAGACCCGCCTTTTCCTCCCTTCCCGGGACGTGGTGCGCCCGGGACACGGTTTCCGTACCCGATGTGCACGGAAAGCCTTCACAAGGTACCGATAGGCCGCGGTGTCACGATAGGGTCGCCCGGTGGCCACGCTGAGGTAGCGCAACTCCCGCAGAAGGCCTCGCAAAGTGCGCGCCGGGGACCCTAAGGCCGCCATTTTTATGTCCTTTCCAGAGGTGGAGCCGAAAGGCGGCCTACGCAACTGCTAGCGCCCTCGCCCTCAGCTACCCCCGCGAGACGCTTAGTGGTACGGTCGGACTCCGACTGCCGGCTCCCCCTGCCGACGGCCAGGGTGAAAGGTCTCACTTCCCTGTTCTGCGGAGCCATATTAATCGAACACCGAGCGGCGCCCTCACGAACCCAGAGAAGAGCAAGCGACCGCTGAGTCTAACTGGGTACCGGGTCCTCCAGAAACGCTGCGAAAGGCCGATCGAGGGTAAAAAGGTCCTTTCTTGCCTGCGTACTTAAAAAGACGTTTTTAGCTGACCAACGGCCGATTCTCAGAAGTGGGTTAGACGGGAGTGAATGAGAATTTGATACGGAACACGCTTTTAAGATTTTTTTTAACGCTATCTAGAAGGGGTATGGAAACTAAACCTATTCGGACCTCCCAAAAGCCTTAAGGGAGTTATTGCTCAGAGGAAGGAGGTGAAATATCCTCATTCTTGCAAACGGTAGCTAAACAGCTAGTAAAACCACACATACACTATTCCATTTTTCAAAAAAGTAAAATGAAAGTGACTTACTTACATATAATCGTTTCAGAAAAGAGAAAAAAGCATCCTAAAGTAAAAGCTCAAACACCCCAGATGGGACTCGAACCCACAATCCCTGGCTTAGGAGGCCAATGCCTTATCCATTAGGCCACTGGGGCTTCTGCAAGTGAGACGCTCAAACAACATGTTCAATTTTTTTTCTCCATGGTACGTCATCGTCCCTTAAGGTTATCTTTACCCTATCCTGAGAAGCCACACCTAGTATCAATGTGAGGGTCGAAGCATGCTGGGAGTTGTAGTTTAGAAAACAAAAGCCCAGTTACAGCTCAAAGGATTTACCCTCGAAACAGCAGTCTCGCGCCGAATGCTGAGCGAGCGCGCGCACGCACGCGTTTGCGTACGCGTTCGCAAAAGCAGTCGCCCCGCGCCTGCGCAAAAGTGGGCATGCAACGTCGCGGAGCCGGGCGCGCAGCACAAACTGATCCTTGAGACCCGCCCTCTGAGGCTTTTCTCCTTCGGGCTCTCACCGGAAGCAGCCTGGTCCTTTCCGGCGTGGTGGTTCTTTCAGGCATGGTTTTGCTCTAGCAGGCCGTTAGGCGGCGTCCTCAGCGGTCAGTTTCTGCTTCCGGTTGAAGAGCCGAGGCATTTCCGCAGAGCTGGGGACGTGTGGGAAACGTACGCCTTGTGTTTTATATTGGTGGGTCAGCGATAAACATGGGGTCGCGAGAAATTTGTAGTTAATCGATTAGGAATTAGAAGTATCTTGGAATAAACTGAGTCGTTTTCGGGTTCTGCCCTTAATTGTACAGTTTGGACAAGTCCCTTTTATTCTCGGCGACGCTTGCCTTTAAATTTCTCAGGGGCTTTCCATTGCCCCAAAGACAGCGCCAGTTTCCTGAAATTGACATACTGTACATCACCTACATCGGCCCTAGCTTGTTGCAGGCGCCATCTCCCATCGTTCGCCTCTTGTCAGCCTCTGCTGCAGGGATCTGAACTTCTCTCCCCCCACCTCCTTACAGCCACTGTGCCTGTACCGTTTGCGCCCTTGGGGTTTTGACTTACTCCAGTAGTCAAGGGTCGATTGATGCACTCCATCTCCTCTGGCCTCCCGTTTCCCTTGGTTCATTCCTTGTACTATTGTGGTTGTCACTTTCCCCTGTCTGACTGGGATATGCAGAGCTGCGGTGGCCCTCTGCCTAACAGAAGTCTGTTCCTGCAGGCCAGTTCTGGAAGGACAGTCAGCTCCTTAAGGGAGGCGCACCTTGTAGCCCTAATGGCTACAAGACATTAGCTGCTGAGCAGGGTGATGAACACAAATGGAACAGTAATGGTAGCTGGGTGAGTGAAGCCGACTTGGGAAACTGGTGAACTGCATGTCACCTCGCCTGCCGTGCAAGGGCAGCCACTGTTTACCTCCATGGGTTGTTGCGGTCTAGGAAGACACTAACTTTTTCGTCAAAAACGATAATTGTTTTTAGAATATTCTGTCTTTCCTTCTAAATAGGACTAATACCCTAAAAGTACAACATGCCGAACAAAACACTTAGCTCACAGACTCCTGGTTTGTAAAGAAAGAAGGAAGAGAAAAAAGGGGGTAAGATAAGAAGATAAAAGTAAAAATAGTTCCTGTGTCTAGATCTTGGGAAAAGAACTTGCTTTGGTAATCTTGCCTTTGGGAAGAATGTTAGGTGCAGGACAGTCTGAACTAAGTTGTCTGCAGGGCAGGCTGAACAAACGTTAGCTGCAGGATAACCCATGCACCCAAACCACCCTCTGTCTGGTCCTTTATCACCTGTTTGCGTCAAGTTTGAACACTCAACACCCCCCCCCCCAAGGCTGAACCCTTAATCCCCCTTGTGCCAACAAGGCAGCTTGCAGACCCAGAGACCCCATTAGATTTTGGCTATAAAAATTCCCTCCTTCCGGGCCACTCTCTCTTGCTCTCTCTGTCTCCCTCTCTTGCTTTTGTCTTCTCTTGCTCTCTCTTTCTTCTCTTGCTCTCTTTTTCTCCTCTTTTGCACTGCTGCAATAAAGATCTCTTGGTCCCGCCAAGTGTTGTGGTCACTTTCCTTTCAAAGAGAAACTCCTCAGAAGAAATATAAAGAGTGAACTCGTGGGCTGGGGATGTGGCTCAAGCGGTAGTGGGCTGTCCTGGCATTCGAGGGGCCCAGGTTGGATCCTCAGCACCACATACAAACAAAGATGTTGTGTCCGCCGAAAACTAAAAATAAACATTGACATTTTCTCTCTCTCTTAAAAAAAAAAAAAGTGAAATCGTTCGTATTGATTTAACATGTAACATGTGAGACCCTGTTAATAACCCAGTCTATAAGTCTGTGCTCTTCAGTGCCCTCAGGTGATTACCATTCCTAGTTGAATTAAGGAATGTTAAAGCACAATATTGGACACAATACCTTTAAACAGTTTTCAGAAGTTTGTTTTGCATTTTGGATGTTCCCCACTCTCCATTCATATACTGAGGGTTTCCTATCATTTGGGCTATGATCGGGCCTCTAATTAGTGTGGTCTTGGTGGACTTGTGATAGTGGTCTACTTTATGCTTTGAATATAACCCTTGCTGCTCTGCCACTGCAACTTATTTTTAAAATGGACATGTTTCTTCCTCTCTCTTTGCTCCTCTGCTCCTCTCTAATCTCAGGGGAAACAAGATTACCTTTCTTCCCCACTTTAGGCAGATTTATCTGTCCTTGAGTACACACCTACCATTGCAAGGAACTTATTCAGACATTGGGGATGGTATAAGAAGATATCAGAAGTGAGTATCTCCCAAATTAACAAATGGATTACAATTCAACAGAAACATGAGAAATATCGCATTTGAATTACCTCTTCAAAAGCTCTCTCTTCCTGTTGATGGGCAGGATCACAGCCTCTGGGACCAGAGTTCCCTGTGTTTCTCCTTTGATAGCAAAACAGTAAACCTTCATTTTCCTTTTTCTCAAAACCGTGTCCTCCTTATTGGATTGGCATAGGGGAAAAGGACCAAGTTTTGGCAACAGACTAGGCACAGGGGAAGAAGACACTATGCTTTTATATTGCTTTTGCTCTCTATGTAAATAAACCATTTGGGTCCAATGGAGTCATTCCCTCACCTTTTGTGGGGCAGGGTCATGGAGATCAGTGATAAAACTCAAAGAAACTTTATCACTGAGCTACATCCCTAGTCCTTTTTTTTTAATATTTATTTTTTAGTTGTAGTTGGACACAATACCTTTATTTTACTTATTTATTTATTTTATTTTATTTTTTTTATTGTTGGTTGTTCAAAACATTACATAGTTCTTGATATATCATATTTCACACTTTGATTCAAGTGGGTTATGAACTCCCATTTTTACCCCGTATACAGATTGCAGAATCACATCAGTTACACTTCCATTGATTTACATTGTGCCATAACTAGTGTCTGTTGTATTCTGCTGCCTTTCCTATCCTCTACTATCCCCCTCCCCTCCCTTCCCCTCTTCTCTTTCTACCCCCTCTACTGTAATTCATTTCTCCCCCTTGTATTATTTTTCCCTATCCCCTCACTTCCTCTTATATGTAATTATGTATAACCCTGAGGGTCTCCTTCCATTTCCATGCAATTTCCCTTCTCTCTCCCTTTCCCTCCCACCTCTCATCCTTGTTTAATGTTAATCTTCTTCTCATGCTCTTCTTCCTTACTCTGTTCTTAGTTACTCTCCTTATATCAAAGAAGACATTTGGCATTTGTTTTTTAGGGATTGGCTAGCTTCACTTAGCATAATCTGCTCTAATGCCATCCATTTCCCTCGAAATTCTATGATTTTGTCATTTTTTAATGCAGAGTAATACTCCATTGTGTATAAATGCCACATTTTTTTTATCCATTCGTCTATTGAAGGGCATCTAGGTTGCTTCCACAGTCTGAGCACATTTTGTCACATGTGCTCAAGAATGAAACAGGGTTTTCCCTCTGTGTCCCCCATAGTTTCCAGGAATATTCCAAACATATTTAGACGAAGAGAAATGCTTTTATTTGGATGGTCAGTTTTGAATACAGTAGGTAGGTATATCTCACAGCTAGAAATATAAAATGACAAACAGCCGTGTTCAGAATGAACCATGAATCTGAGCGATCAGAAATGCCTTTTAGCAGTAGGGGCAACAACCACTGTAACGAGATTGAAGCCAAATGTGATAGGTCTTACACTGAAAATGGATCATTATTTGTGATTCAAAACTTAAGCAAACACAAAACACCAAAGAGAAAGAGGCACCCTGCTATAATTTGGATCTGGAATGTTGCCCAAAGGTCACGTGTTGAAAGCTTGGACCCCAATGTAATGACATTCAGAATGGACTCTACAGAAAGGCGAATTGAATCCTGAGCTCTAACCTCAACTTTGAATCAATGCACTGATGGGTTCATTATTTGACAGGATTATTGGGAGTTGGTAAAACTGTATGTGTTAGGGACTAGTTGGAGGGTAGGTCATTGTAGTTGATTCCCTAGAAGGGTACATGGTATTCCTCAGTCCTTTCTTCCCCTCACCATCTTCCTGATCTCCAAGAGATGAGCAGCTCTGTTTTGAGGCCAGGCTCTCTGCCATGGTATTTTGCCTCACTTCAGGCCATAGCAACGGAGCCTGAAATTGAACCAAAATAAATATTTACTCATATAATTTTCTCAGGTATGTTGTCAAAGTGATGAAAGCCTACTAATGCACACATGCACACACACACACACACACACACACACACACACACACACGCATACACAGGGGGAATGGTCCAAAGGAAGAAAAGGACACTTGGTATTGTTGATGGCTTCTTCAACAGTAGACATAGCTTGGGGACAGAGTGGATTCTCCATTTCAGCAGATGCTATAAGGGGTTTAAAGTTTTATATTAGTATTTTATGGAAAGATTGAATAATACAGGCCTGATTTTTCTCTCAGATTTGGAGATGAATAAGAAGGACAAAGAAGATTTCCTTTTCTAGCACAAGACACAAATGTAGTCACTAGTTTCTGATAGCAATCTGAGGAATTCTGTCTCCTTGCTCTTTTCTTGATGGCAAGAGACTTTATGAGGTTTTTGATATAAACCTTAGAATCACTTTAACCATTAATTTTCCTCAAATTCTTCCTTGTTTTAAATTTTATTTTTCCCACCTTGAGTGTTTGGTCCCTAAACAGACATATAGAAAGAACAGCTCAAGGAAAAGAGTGTCCTGAATATATGCTTTGGGTAAGAGAGTTATGGGAGCAAATCCAAACCCCTTCTAAAGGGTAATGAGGAAAATAATTGTAGACAAAACCAAAAGCAAATATGAACAAAGTGACAGCAGGCTCTACTTGTTGACCACTTTCTCTGTGTCAGCCATAGGGTGAGAACTACACATTATGTTCTCATTTACGCTTCAACTCATGCCTGTGCGAGAAGTTTCATAAGTGTATCATGTCGATTCAGCTCCAAAATTGCTTTGGTCCCAATTTGTATGTCTGTTACAGCCCACGTGCTTCATCTCTTTGCTTTGTCCCCCAACTCTACAAAGCTGCCTCTTCATGAACTTGTTGGAATTTAAACACTTTGGAAAGCAGGGTCTTACCTTATCTCCTTCTGATCCTTAATTCTAGGGGTGGGATTCCAATTTAGGATTGTTACTGCATAGTAGAAAAGTTTTCAAGTTTTTATTTCACTCTGTATGGTTTAGACCTGGATTATATTTTGCACTGATAAACAACAACAGGTGAAGTGAACACCAAATTATTGGCTCAAAAACAAAGTTTCTTAAGTGAAATTTAAGTGGAATTTTTGCCCAATTAAATAAACTTAAATAAAAACTTACAAGGACCATATAATATTAAAATGAACTCAAAAACTTATAGATTAAGAGCAAAAATTTATTTTTGGAAAGGGTAAAAATTATTCTTTAGTGACATTTCATCAATATTATCATGTGAATTCTGA